TTTAAAAAAAAATTTCCGGGGGGGCATGAACGGGGGCCCCCAAACCCCCCTAGTTTGCCTCGTGCCCTGCGGGCACTCGGATGAAAACCACACACCTCGGCAAGCCAAGGTGTGTGATTTTTCACTCGCCTGCCTTTTCCAAAACACCAGGACTGGGTTTGTAATACTCTATCTTCCGGTTGAGCTTCTTTTGTTCACTGGTCCTTATTCGTTTGTATACATTTGTATTTTTATTCACATCGAACTCGTACGACAAAAATGTAGTGAAATCAGTACCAAATCGCTGTCTTACTCCTTTGTCATTATACGCTCCTGATAATATAGATAACCATATTATTATATTATCTATATTATATATTAGTTATATATTAGTTATATTAGTTATTATATTATGGTTATCTATATTATTTCTATGGTCCATCCAGACCGTGTGACACCATAGATAGTGTCAATAGTAGATAATAACACATTAGATAATAGTTATATTATCTACTCTTGATAGTGTATAAGTCGATCCGAGTCGATTGATAGTTAGTGTTAGGGTTCGTGTTGCGGTTAGTGTTAGTGTTTTTGCATCATTCTTTGATATACGGAAAGTCTGATGCATGCACAACCACCAGCACCATCAGCAGGCTGTATGCGTACATGCATTCAACATCGGAGATAGCCGAGTTCGTGCGTGACGTACACTGACGTCACGCGATCAGTCTGGTTCATGGAAACATGCCACCCACAATGCACCACGAAAAACAAAAGAAGCGCATATTGCGTGTTTGGACTCACTCACTGGCGTTGCTGCGATGTGTTAGTGAGTTGCGATTTTTTCAAGTGGCCGTTATTGTGAAAAGTCGTAAAATGGACCATTGTAAAACGTGATCCTAATATACCTCATGTAGTCATAGCTTAGTGTAGTTAGCTTAGTAGTTTAGCTTTGCCTCTTTCACAAACAACTAACGACACCAGGTACAAATTCAGTCTAAGCAACAGCATGTGCTAACATAATAGGGAAAGGTCACATATATTTCAATTATGAATCTTCAATCATCCACTTCTATTTATGCAAGGGGCAGGCGGATATGTTTCGTTTATGGATGGGATCGGGAGTGCCCATCTTCAGGCAGACGTACCGTGAGCTGGAATAACTGTCTCCAGGTGTGTTTGGTCAACCTTCAGCTTGTGGTCGGTATCCAGCATCTTCACGACTGCTCCGAACTGCTCCACCACCTCTCTAACCACCGCCTTCTTCTTGTAGTATTTCTCGCCCAACTTCCTTGTGATGATCTTGACGACGATACCCTGCAAAGCAGAATTCGTGAACTCTCGTGTACAATTAAGTGACCTATCCGTTTGACAAGTTAACCACACCTTTCATGGATATTTGGTGCTAGGTCGGTCAAACTCGCCTAGTTCGACTTTGCGGTACTTTGCTACTAAGCAGCATTTTAGAATGCCCTTATGACAGTGCTGATTGGTTAGAGCTACCTGTTAATTGTCGAGGGCTTGGCTTCATCTCCCCCTTGTGCGACCTGCATCTGGTGACTCACCTCTGTCAGCCAGTACGACTTTCGATTCATCTTCTCCTTTGACTGCTCTTCAAACTCCATGATCTCATCGAGAGCCGACTTGCGTTTCTGAGCCGCGGCAGCCTCCTTGGGTTTGCTCCTTGCCTTGCCGCTGCTCTCAGCAGTCAGCGGCTTCTGCCTGGTCGACGTGAGGGGATTCTCAGGTGGCAATGATGGCCTATCCAAGACAAAGACATCAGACAACAACCCTCGGATCAGACGACCACAAGCAAAATCCAGCTGCTGAGTTTGTTGCAATCAATATTGTAAATATGCACAACAAAATATTATGTCTATATATATATGTGCGTGTGGTATGTGCGTGTGTGCATGCGTGCGCGTGCACACGTACATGTGGCGTGCGTGTGGTTTGTGTATGTATGTGCATGCATGTGTGGTGTGTACGTATGTGTGGTGTGTGTGTGTCTGTGAGAGCATGTGTGCATGGTGTGCATGTGCCTGTCTGCACATGTCTGTATCTCTATGAGGGTGCATGTGCGCATATACTAAAGCCTGAATTCTCGAACTGGGACTAACTGGGAACTAAACTAAACCGAAACTAAACTCGGAACCTAAACTAAACCGAAACTAAACTGGGAGATGTTAAACATAATGGTAAACACACTCAATTTCGTCCAGCTTAACTTTGCCTAACACGGTCTGGTCTGTTATCTCCCCTAAATTTAGACAAGTTGCAAGTCGATAAATGCCATTAAAGTGACCATAAATAATAAAAGTAAAAAAATTAGCCCACTTTTTCACAAAATGTAACTGATTCTGTTAACTTTTTATGGTTAAATTGCTGCATTATACTTCCTATTTTGCTATTCCGTTTGATGCGAACAAACACTCGTGACTGATACACAGCCCATAGAAAGCATTTAATATCGTGATCAATATATGAAATCGCCCAGGTTTTTTGGATTTTTAACTAGTTGAAAAACAATCTTATCAGGTAAGAATTTGAGGATACATTTAGTGCCGTTAGTACTTCCTTTTCATGTAAAAAAATTGCATCCAAATCTTTACAAATATACGCCATAGAAATATTGTGATGTAGTCAATTTAAACTGGTCAAGGTGTAAACACGTGGGAGGGTAAACCATGCTTTCACTCACTCGTCGGTCGGCTCACGCGGCTTGCCGCCGCCGGATAAGGAAGCCGGGAGTTTAAACACAACCTTCTCCTCCTCGCTCTGTCGTTTCAGCTCCGTGTGCTCCACCTCCTCTTCCGCACTGTGCTTCTTCTGCTCCTGGACTCTCTCAACTGACGAGAAAATAGGCAGATGTGTTATCGTGCGCACGAGACAGGCCGAGAGATCTTTATATTAACTGAGCCGTATGAATCTCTATGTGGTGAAGCCTTTACTGTCAATCTACTAGCAATAGGAAATCTCTGGCTCACAACCTCGTGCTCAATGCACTGCATATATCTCCCGAATGCAAGTGCTTCACTATTTGACAACTTTAGGGTTCACATTGTGGCACAACACCCAACGAAAACAATGATGAAGCCGCCTCCAAATTCTACGACATGTGAATTATTGTACAGGTCTGAGACGTGATACTGATATTTTGATTTAGCAACCACAAACATTTTTTTGGTCTGCAAACATGGAGCAAACTTCACTACATGGCAAACACAGTGTTCTAATTCACCACAATACTGATGATAAGTGCCATGGATGGTAGAAGTGCCAACGGGGGCCCTTCTTTCCGCGGCAGCTCAAATATTCTACGATACCCCCGGCAATAAACTCCCGTGGCTGCCCTAGCTCATTTGCTATCGTGCTCTTCTTGTAAATTCTATGTTGTGTATGCATCCCTCCCTATTCTATACACCTTTTACAAATTCCTAATATCATAATAAGTATCAAGTTGCCTTGGTTCCTCTTCAAATTTACTGTGGATGCCCAAGATTTCATCATGATAAAACTCAAGACAACTTTCTTTTTCAAAATTTTTTCAGAAAATTACATAGAGCTTTATAAAATTTGCTAACAATGCTGCAGCACCGTGACACTGCGCCGTTCTAAGCACCTAACCCCCTCTACCACGCGGCCCCCTCTACCACTTTTTTTCACGGGAGCTCTTTTTCAAGTCTGTAGAAAAAATAGCTCTCGCCAATAATTTTACGGGAGCGATTTCTGAGGTTTGAAGAGCGAATCGCTCATCGCTCCCGTGTATTTTTTACCCTGCCCTCTACTACGCGCCACCCTCCCTGCGAGCACCTTGCTTCTGGATGAACCTTGACATGCGTTCCTCGTCGTCCATGTCCATCTTCCTCTTCGCGGCGAGCTGCTCCTGCCGGCGAATCGTCTCCGGGTCGCGGTCGATCCACGTGATGAACCATCCCTTCTCTGTGTGGTCGACGTTGCAGTGGCCTGCACACACACACACACACAATCAGGTGTGAATAATGACAAAGTGTCATTACTATTATCAGGAGTGAATAATAATAGATCTATTATTATAATCTATTATTAATAATATATTATTATCTACCCCTGCTATTATATTATCAATTGTCATATTGTCATTGTTATTACATTGTCAAATTGTCATTGACAATTTGTCGTTATTAATGGTATACCATGCAGGTAGAGACTCAGGGTGTAATAATCATAATAATAATAAATAAATGAATAATAACTTGTTAATTACACGTTACATTCAAAAATGTTCACTTGAGAATTACAACAAGGAATGTAACAAATATACTAACAATAAAACTAAGAGACCGCATCACGACAAACTATTGTTAGCTTCTACGGTGGAATGCACATCTGTTACCATGACGACGACTCTCTCTCCCTATCTCTCACTCTATCTCTCTCTCTCTCTGTCCCCTTCCCTCTCTCTCTCTCTCTCTGTCCCCTTCCCTCTCTCTTTCTCTCTCTCTCTCTCTCTCTCTCTGTCCCCTTCCCTCTCTTTCTCTCTCTCTTAATTTTCAACAGCGACAATGATGCATGTACAGACGGACATCGATCTTGACGTTAGATTTACCGAGCACAAGTAGCGCCCTCTGCTTTCTCACCTTCACGTCCGAGCCACTTGACAAAGTCGGTGAGAGTCTCCCACTGCGTGGAGTTCATGTGCAGGTGGTCGCGATCACTGATGTACTCCTGATATATATTGTTCGCACTCACACGCTTCGTACCTGCACAACATCACAGGAATTACTCTATACGCCATATTTTTCGGGTACAGATATTTTCGCGAATTCAGACTTGACGCGACAATTTTTCGCGCGTCAGTTGAATTATGAATTATTCGGATATGAATTATTCGCGTGCTGTTGTTATTTTCGCGGTCGCGGGACGCCTGTTCCGCGAAATTCGCGAAAATTAAACCACTGCGAAATTAATACAGCGTATACAGCAGGGTGCGAAATTAACGGAGTCAAATAGTCAAATAGTTAATACTCCCTGATTTACTGTTGGACTCCCTTGATTTGACATATAGTGGGTCGCGGATATGTGACATTTTTTTACTTAAAGTGTGCACTTCTGGAAAGAAGCATGAAAATTTGTCTAGGGGGCCGTTTTGAGTATGCTGATTTCAAAAAATTGCGGGGAACACACGATGTCACTCCAATGGTTTCCCGGCCAAAAAAATCAAAAATTGAAAAATGGCCACCAGAAAACGTGTTTTTGCCCATAAATCAGCTGTAATTGCCGCCGATTACCATGATCTTGGCGTCTATACTCTATACCAATGTTTTTGAAGTCAAGAATGCAATAAAACACATGTCAAATATCATAAGATATAATCTTCCCGCCAAAAAGTTGAAAATTCAAAATGGCCACCACAAAACACAGTTTCCCCATAAATCAGCTTTAAGTGCACTAAGAATCATGATCTTGGTCTCTATACATATGTTTTTGAGGTCAATGAACCCCATAGAATGGGTATAGAACACATTGTTGATCTATCATAACATCTTCCGCCAAAAAAATTAATCCAAAATGGCTGCCACAAACGCATTTCTTTGCCATAAAATGGCTACACGTGCCACGATTACCAGGATCTAGGTATCTATACCAGTTTTTATGTCAACGAACCCGATGGAAAACATAAAATATCCATACATCTTCAAATTAAACAAATACAATATAAACTGTTTTTAGGTCAAAGAACTCGGTTACACATATGTGAAAAATCATGATGAAAAATAATGCCATCTATACTTCAGTTCATAATTTCTGTTACACTTTGGAAGGTACGCCTGCGTGCCTGCCAAAACGTCGTTCCTTAGATCACGGCGTGAACAAAAATATGTTGCCTATATATGTGGAGTCACTTGGAAAGATTATTCTGTGAATGTTCGCTCTTGACCACTATCACTATGCTCGCTGGATGACGGTTCATGTGAGAGATAAACTTGCCCTCGAGATTAACTGCCCTACCACACATGCAGAGTTTCTCAAAGGCAACTTTGTGACACAGAAAACCATGCAGAAATTCTCAGCACTAGCCCATGATCAAGTTCATGAACAGCTGAATGCAATGGTGAAGGGAGATGGAGGCGTAATAGGTATCACTGAAATGAAGCAGCACTGAGACGGTGGATGGTGGCAGCGTCCAGAAACAGCTAGACTATTAATGGAGTATGATGCCAAACATTCAATTAAAAAGAAGGACACAGAACGCCACCATGAACAAATACCAAGTGTGCAGAAGGCTTGCTTGATACCAAACAGATAATGTCCTATACTAGTGTGCTAGATACTATAAGGTCCGCAGAAGACATAGACAAAGCACAGTACCAGAAATTTGTTGCAGAGCGTATCAATGACAATATCACTGCGTTCAATGACACCATACATAGGTACAATCTGCCTCTGTTGAATTCTAGTTCAGGAAAGAAACCTGCGAAGTTCACCAATATTTACAACCTGCACAATGATGTTCATCTCTTCTCACGGCTGTTTATATCGTGTCAAGCTAGAGAAAGTGAGTATGGATGCCTTCTTCGCACATGAAAATCATGCTTGGCCTCCATCGTTGGCGTCAAATGGTATCATGCGCCAAACAAGCAAATCTCACTTGATGGAATGCTTGGAGTCATTGCCATTGGTACCACAGCCGGAATCTGTTCCAAATGTTGATGTCAACATTGTGACGGTGCTGCCATTGTGCACATGCTTGACCCAAAGAAGTCCCAACGTTCTTCTGTCAAAAGCATTCCAGAACTATTCAACAATGGTGTTCTTTCCCTATATAGAACACATGCTACAAGACGTTGTTCGCGTAGATGTTGTCTGGGATGTCTACAGGGAGGACAGCCTAATGCACAAACACGACAGAACCGTGGATCTGGTAATCATCTCCGGTTGGACAATAACACCAAGATTGCTGTTAACTGGAAGAACTTCCTTCGCTGTGATGCAAACAAAGACAGCCTGTTCCAACTTCTAGCCAATGCAATACAAGGGTTTCAACCTCCTCCACAGAAGCTAGTGAACTCCACACATGGCCAGAATGCGTATCATCTCCATAGCTGACCTGTCAGATTTGTTCTGCACTCACGAAGAAGCAGACACACGGCTCTTGTTTTATGCTTCCCATTCATTCCATTGTGGGTTTACCAAGCTGATGATACATGCAACAGATACTGATGTGGTGGTTATGCAATTGCAGTGTCAAGTGTTTTACAGGACTGGGAAATATGATAGCATTTGTCATGGTGCTAAACTACTTTACATTCAGTGCCACCTAATTGCAGCTGAATTAGGCAACGATACATCATGGGGTCTTCTATTCTTCCACGCAATATCAGGATGTGATACTGTTCCTGCCTTTCATGGAATTGGAAGAGAACAGCTTGGGCTGTTTGGTGCAGTATGCTAATCTCAAACCGATTTTTTGCTGCGGTTATCCCATGCTCCAAGTCAGCGTTATTCCCCGACGACGTGGAGCAAACAGAGAGATATGTTGTTATCTTGTACAGCGAACATCAGCACCAGCCATGTGAATGAAGCCAGGAAGCAGTTGTTTCACTCAAAAACCGTAAGATGGAAAACATTCTCTAACGTTTGCAAAGCCCTGGAACAGCATGTGAAACGGGCTGTTTATCAGGCAGGGCACATCTGGGGACAGTCACTTATAGGAGACCCTGAAGTTCCATCGCCTTATGGGGCTGTGAGAGAGTGACAGATGATTCCCCATGAACTCCATGCTGGACCACTCTTCCAGAGGCAGCCAAAGCTAGGCAGGAAGTGTTAAAATGTGGATACAAAAAGTCTTGTACAAATGGATGCAAGTATGTCAAAGCAAATCTCGAGTGTACACAGATATGCTTCTGTTCAGGACAGTGTAACAGAGAATAAGCAAGCAAATCTGATCATATGAGACACTGACAGAGATCATTTAAGTGTTTAACATAATACATGATACACCATTGAATGCTTTTACATGGCATACGCGCCGCTGCCTTTTATTGCGTGCACTGCGTCTTCATGAAATCTGATGGAACGACGTTTTGGCGGGTGCGCAGGCGTACCTTCCAAAGTGTAACAGAAATTATGAAACTGAAGTATAGATGGCATACTTAAGTTTTCATCATAATTTTTCACGTGTTCTACCCAGTTTCTTTGACCTAAAAAACATTTTATTGCTATTTGTTTAATTTGAAGATGTATGTTAAGATTTTTCATGTTTTCCATCGGGTTTCTTCACATAAAAACAGGCATAGATAACTAGTCCTGTAATTCGTGGCACGTATAAACCATTTTATGGCAAAGAAATGCGTTGTGGCAGCATTTTGATTAAATTCTTTTGGCGGGAAGATGTTATGATAGATCACATGTGTTCTATACCCGTTCTATGGGGTTCATTGACCTCAAAAACATATGTATAGAGACCAAGATCATGGTACTTGGGGCACTTACAGCTAATTTATGTGCAAAACTGTGTTTTGTGGCAGCCATTTTGAATTTTCAACTTTTTGGCGGGAAAGATTATATTCTTATGATATTTGACATGTGTTTTTATTGCATTCTTGACTTCAAAACATAGGTATATACACCAAGATCATGGTAATCGGGCACTTACAGCTGATTTATGGGAAAAAACATTTTTTCTGGCGGCCATTTTAATTTTTGATTTTTTGGGCGGAACGTTGAGTGACATCGTGTTTCCCGCGATTTTTGAAATCAGCATACTCAAAACCCCCCTAGAGCAAATTTTCATGCTTCTTTCCAGAAGTGCACACCTCAGACACATATCCGCCCACTAATATGCAGGAGTCCGTGTGACTCCCTGAAAATTCTGCCATACTAACTAGTTAGTTTCAGAGCACGGCCTAGCGGAATTACTGTATTTTTTCAGCTAATGTCCAAAGAAAAATTTGGCAGACGTGCAACTGCATGAATCTTAAAAATAAGCAGATTCGTCATCGTTAATATCTTTAATTTCGAACCTCAGACTGCGGACTCCCTCATTTTGCTACGGACTCCCTCTTTTTGAGGGTAGGGAGTCCGTTGGACTCCCTTGTTCAAAAGTTAATTTCTACCCCTGTGCAGTATTTTCTACTTCTACGGTTTGTACTGGACAGTCCGTGAGGAATAATGTCCAAGGATTGCGCAACTCCAGATCAGATGCATATGAAAGATTAGACTAGGGAATTTTTTACATATATAGAGAGTAACGAGTTCGAGAGATCAAGACTTTTCGGGGCCAGGCACTCATTTTCGAATGGCTTCCATGCTTACAGGAAATCCGACGCAGATTGGGGTCGATCGGAGATCACAGTACAGATTTAAAGCATTACAGCAGAAATTTCAGTTAAAGCAATTTTACTTGGTCTGAAAGGAGGAGCACACTGTACGCAAGAATAAATTCATGTTTAGTTCACTCACCGAACCGCCGGCTAAGCAACTCCACAAAATTGTCAGCAAACTCCCTGTAGAAAAATGTAGAAGTGAGTGACGCAACAACAGATAGCGCATTTCATTTTCATTCCAATGTCATAATGCTTACTAAAAAGACAAAAACTAAAAAATATATATGAGTATAATAGTATGCAGACAGATATCATGAACACATTCACTTAGACAGACAAAGATTTTTTTTAAGATATTTAATTAGACTACAAAAGATGATTATGAGAAGGAGCTCCATTTCATCAGGTTTTTTTAAATAGAGATTTTGGCTATTTTGAGATAAGTCATTGCAAAAATAGGGATTAAGACTCATCACAGCGTGATCACGCACAATAGGGATATATCTTATTGCTGCTAGAGACGGCATACTTAGAAAATGTGTCTATGAACTGGTCAGTGTCCTCGGCAACAAGCAGCAGCTGCCTCTGGTGCGTTTCAGATGTCGTGTGGCATTTAAATCCATTCTGAAAAAAGCGAAACAATCACAGTAAGCCATCGTGGCAGTAGAGATACTGTACGTACGCATCAGCAATCATGTTGAAATGTAAACACAGGAAAACAATCAGCAAAGCAGTATGTGCAACACTGCAGCCTCGTGTCATTGTCTCTTCACTGCAATGTGATTTGGTTTAGTTAATTAGCTTTTTGCTAATTGAATTCATCTCTTCCACATATGTAATTTATTCCCTTGTTTTCCAACATTTAAGGGCCGGACACACTAGGCGATTTTAATGCGATCTAATCGGGTGACTTCATCGCCCGATAGTCGCTGGTGAATGAGTCGGGCGACTGAGTGGACACACTAGGCGAATATCAGCGCGATTCATCGGCGATTTTTCTCCCGCTGCAACACTAAAACCAGGGTCTCCAACCCTGTGAACTCTAAATGCGAAATGTTCCCGCGGTGATCAGTAACTAGTGACGTATTCAGAAATTGATGGGGGGAGGCGAAATGTACCTTGGCTGCAGCAGGCAGGCCCGCGTGCTGTAGGCATGCCAGTGCTAGGGGGGTTTGGGGGCATGCCACCCCCCAAGAAATTTTTTAAAATATTTAAGCCATTTTCCTGCAATCTGAGGCATACCGTGGGCCATATTATCATGTCTGATAACACTATCTCAACCCTACAACCCTTGTCTGATTAGCAGACAAACTACGCGACAATTTGCAGACAGCGCCTGTCTGACTAGGCTGTTCCATTTACCGTAGACTTGCCAGATACAAAATGCCTGAAAAAAACCAATGTGTCCAAGCGAACAATGCGAACAATCAGTGCAAATTTTGTACAGTGCAACTGAAATGAGGAATATAACCTTTCCGCTGCAGAATGCGGAAATTAAGCCTAGAAATCGTAAAGTGATTCCGCAGAATGAGGAATGGTTGGAAACCCTGCTAAAACACTCGCGCCACCTAGATTGATGGTCACATGATAGAAAATGGCACCGTTTGATTGGCTGATGAATTGTACAATCGGGCGACTCATTCGCCGACCCGGACACACTAGGCGATTGAGTCGCGCGACTGAAATAATCGCCCGATAATATCAAAACGTTTTGATCGATGCGATTGAATCGGGCGACTAAATCGGCGGCGACTGACTGGACACATTAGGCGATTTTCACCGGCTATTGAGTCGCCCGACTGAGTCGCCCGATGAAATCGCCTAGTGTGTCCGGCCCTTTAGAATAACCTTGCAGATTACGATACTATACCATAGTTAGTGTTATATATCTCGTGTTCTTGAGACATTCGAATACAGATTCCAACGACTGTCTTGCTTGTTACATATTATATTGTTCAAATAAACTTAAATCACGCAGACGCTGAGCCTGTTACAGGAGCGTGTAGAGGCTATAGTCCCGCCATAATTCTCTCTTCCTCGACTAGTGGCGCCACCTCTTGGGCTTACAAAGAATAAACATTACTTTAACGTTTTCCAGTTATCTTACAGTTAGCATGGGGGATACACACACTCCTGGAAACATTACATGATTCACATGACAAAAACAAACAAACAATGTTCTATGGGACAGTTCTAACCAAGGTGTTGCTGTAATTATCTTGCAAGATACTATCCAGTTACCATCATTCAATACAAGTTGCAAAATACATTCAATACCAGTTAAACTGGCAAAATGAAGCAAATGTTCGTGTTGTTATACTAGATACCTCATCTCTACACTGCTTCTGACACATCTGGCAGTACCATCTCAGCTTTTGCAGGCCTTTTGCCTTAATCCGATTACCAATCGCCTTTGGACTGAGGAAGCCTGGCTTCTCTTTCCCCATCTTCACGGATCAATCAAAAAACGACCTAAAACAGAATCACATGCAAATAAATAACTACAATAACGGCTGGTGTCGTCACCACATCACGCATCTAGGCTTTTGATCCAGAGTATTGTTGTGATCTCATGAAGCAACGAGATGTCGGCTGTGCTGGTGGAGCTAATCTAGAACACATGACCCATTGTATATTGTATTGTAGACATGAAGTATTGTGGGACATGTCTTCTAGACCAAGGCTGTGCTTGTTATTACCGATTTAGCGTTGGTTAGCTCTGCGAATGTACATGCATAGCCCTAGGGGCAGAAATTAATCTTTGAACAAGCGAGTCCAGCGGACTCCCTACCATCAAAAAGAGGGAGTCCACAGTATACAAGTAGTTGTTGTTGTTGTTGTTTTCGGTTTCTTTATTTTATACTGGACTCAAGGGTTTAAATCCACATCAGTGGAAACCCACTCCAGGAATCTGGCTCGGTCCAGTTTTGGCAGCTCTCATGCTTGTTCTCCATGTGACACGATCCAAGGGGTCTACAGCGGAGAGATTCCACTGTTCCCTATCCTTCTTCACAACCTCCTTCCACAGTACCACAGATATTAACAAAAAGGACATTTGCGGTGCACGTCTGGCAAACTTTTTGGGGTCATTTGCTAAAAAATATGGTAATTTCGCGAGGCCGTGCTCTGGAACGGACTATTTTGTATAGCAGAATTTTCAGGGAGTCATACGGACTCCTGCATATGTCAAATCAGGGAGCCTGACAGTAAATCAAGGAGTATTTGACCCCACACTCGCGTAGGCGACTCCCTAGACTCGTTAGTGGAGTAGGCGAGGTACGGTCCGGCATATTAGATAGTACCAGGGTACGTTCCGGTATACCGGACCGTAACCAGGGTACGTTCCGGCAGTACCCTGGCCCTGGGGGACATAGGCATAGACCCTCTCACTCTCAGCAGTACTAGAGCTAATAAGACCCTCTCAGCCCATGTTACAGGATGGAGGCATGTAAATAGCTATTCACGGATACTGAGGCTGATGGGGTCTATGTCCCCCCGGGTACTGCCGGAACGTACCCTGGGTACGGTCCGGTATACCAGAACGTACCCTGGCACTAAATACTACTATCTAATATGCCAGACCGTACCTCGCCTACTCCACTAACGAGTCTAGGGAGTCGCCTACGCCTACTCCCCAACCCCAACCCTAACTCTAACCCTAACCCTAACCATATCCCTAACCATATCAGCTAGATAGTTACCAGGGTATGTTCCGGTATACCGGACCGTACCCAGGGTACGTTCCGGCAGTACCCTGGGAGACATAGACCCTATGAGCGATACTGAGATAGCCTTGCAATCGCGAAACGCAACCTGCCAACCGTCGCGTGAACACTGAACAGCGTTTTAGATGGGAGCCAAATAAACTAAGATTAGTAAGACTAAGAACCTAAACAAAACAGCATGACAATAGTTTTATGTATAAAAATGACATTTATCATTTAGAAATTAGACATTTTTATGTCATGTAGAACATGGGTCCCAATAAAACCAATGTCATTTACATCAATATAAATATAATATTATATCAATATAATAGGTTAGGGTTATGGTTAGGGTTAGGATTAGGGTTAGGGTTAGGTTTAGGGTTAGAATTAAGGTTAGGGTTAGGGTTAAGCACATTGGTTTTATTGGGACCCTAACCCGACCAGGCTGTGTGACTAACGTTAATATTCTAACCCTAGCAATTCTAACCCTAAGAATTCTAAGAACTCTAAGAATTCTAAGAACCCTAAGAATTCTAACCCTAACCCTAGTATTCTAACCCTAGCAATACCGTTTCTTGGAGCTATTGGGACCCATGTTCTCTATCCTTGGGCCATACTAAATAAATGTAATTATTGACGTAGTTGATGTAGTTTGCCAAATTAAATTTAATATTCACTACCTACTTACTTCGTCCTAAAACGTTTCGCAACAAAACATAAAATAAACACCAAAACAGAACACATGAAATTCAGGCCTAACTTTCTAGTTGAAGTTCTAAATTAAACCCTCTCGATGATTTATGATCGTCTTCAAATTTTACACAAGGGAGATCATAGATCAACAACGTTGTTATATGATATGGTGTAGCGTGTGGAACTGTCAACCGGGTACCAGTCTAATTTCGGCTGACTTCGACAGCGACATCTGGCGATAATTGCGGAACCGCCGTACAAGTGACGTCACGTCACATGTGACATAATTACGATCTGTCATTCGTTGTTTAGACCGACAACAGCATCAAGCATGATACAAGATACAAGATGGCTGACGATATGGAACAAGTGTGTAAAATATTTTTAAATTTTATGTACGCCGCGTTATCACTGAAACTGAAAGCGAGAGTGAGAAACCAAAATGATGATAAATAAACACAAAATTTATTAGCTACCAATGTCTTAACGTTTATGTATATTCCACACAAATGCCGTTCGAATGATCCCCTGTGAGTGTAACACAGTCGCAGCGCACTCGCCCCGCTGTGCAAACTTGCAGAAAGATAGCGCAGGTGGTCAGCATTTTACAGAAAGCAAGAGCACCAAATTCCCATGTATTTTTCCTGTTAAGGTGTGAAACGAAGCGAGAGTTGTACGAATTTGGTGCTCACACATCCCTAGTCCGAGCCGACGCAGACCCCAGTAATGGGTCTGCGCCGCGTCTATCTCAATCACGGAAAGCCACCTCCAGTTTGGAGGTGGCACTTATAAGTAATATATGCGCCGATATATACAATCCTATTGCGTGAACTTACTTTAATCTGAACTTGAATCATTATCTACGTGCATGCACCGTATGATGTCCTGTTTAGCGGCCACAACATAACAATATATCAAGTTGTTAACGTAATGGTAAATATAAACATCCAAAGAAAATGTTCTGTCTTCATTCACATTTGTCAACCAATGAAAATCACTTCCGGTTACTTCGGCTATTCCCGATGTTCAACAGGAAACATCGTAGGTAGTCTGCGCCATCTATTATTTTTTCGAATGATTATTTCCGAGTGAACCCGAGGCTACTGGAAGTGAATTTCATTGGTCGATCGAAAATCTGTCCAATATGTCCAAAAGTATGCGAAGTTACTCTTGACTACGATAAATTATTGCATGAAAACAAAGTTCTGAAACGGAGATAAAGTTTCGGAAAGCGATATTGACAAACAGAAGGTCTGTACTTGATATTTTGGGTCGGATATCACCCCGTCACGCCCTCAGTGCTACTCGATTCACCTATCCAATGCCCACAACAAAAATTGCAACAATTTTTACAAGGGTGACTGCAGACGATAAACCCGCACCCTCAGATTACCAAAGCGGAGTTATAACGTCTGCATTTGCGGACTAACACATCCCCACCTCGCACCTGTTCCAACGTGCTTTGATGAAATTGTGTGATGTGTTGCAGACTGCGGACTGTGCAGTGTCAGAGGATCATTTTGAACGGCATTGCATCATACATGGAATTATTACTAATGCTGCCAGGGTCTATGTCTCGTGGGTACGGTCCCGGTATACCGGAACGTACCCTGGTACTATCTAATAGTAATATGCCGGACCGTACCTCGCCTACTCACTAACGATTCTAGGAGTCGCCTACGCGGCACGCCTACTCCCTAACCCTAAACGGGCCTAACCTTAACCCTAATCATATTAGATAGTTACCAGGGTACGTTCTGGCAGTACCCAGGGAAACATAGACCCTATCAGCATTACTAATAATCGGCAAAAGAGAGTAAGTAAACATTAAAAGGCTTTGGTAGTGAATACGAGGGGTGTGATTTGGCAGTTCGTTAATTCTCTCTCTCTCTGTCTCTCTCTGTGACGCAGGCTGCTCCCGTTAATACGGTGGAGGAGCCGCTAGACCTCGTGCGGCTCAGCCTCGACGAGCGAATATACGTGAAGATGAGGAACGAGCGAGAGCTGCGAGGGAGACTGCATGTACGTACGCTTGTCGTTGCTGGCTAGAATCGCTCGCCCCTCCCTCCCTCACGCCCCCCTGCTAATAATAGCTAATAATGAATTCAATTATTAATTTAATTATTTTAAATACAATAATAATTATTTATTAATTATTTAATTTAGTAATAATTAAAATTAATTTAATAATAATAGCGCTTCCTCCCCTTAACGTTACAGGCTTACAGCTGTCTTACCGGTTACGAGACCATCCTCAAAAACTTGCATACCCGCCTCAAGTGATTAACAGGAAGATCTGGTTAATCAACGATGCAGTAGGGGCATTCTAAAAACACTGCTTAGTTAGGAAGCACCGGGAGTAAACAGTTTGAAGCGCACACGTGAGAACACGTATGAGCTGATCTAATTTGACCAATCCAACTACTTTATTTATACGCAGTCGTTCTTAACCTTTTTCGAGTCGTGGACTCCTTAGAGAATCTGCCCTGCTCTGTGAATCTGGCATAGAATCTGGTGAAAGCTATGGACCCCTCCCCAGAAAAATGCACATGAGCACAAACGCAAAATCGTGCGTGCGATCGATTCACGGACCCCCTGAAGCCCATCCACGGACCACAGCTTAAGAACCCCTGATTTTTAGGATGAAGTAATATAGAGTGTGAGCATGAAGTGGCGTACGTTGTGTTCAGGGTAAAAAATACACAGGAGCGATGAGCGATTCGCTCTTCAAACCTCCGAAATCGCTCCCGTGAGGCTAAAAATAGCTCCCGTAAAATTTTTGACAAGAGCTATTTTTTCCACAGACTTGAAAAAGAGTTCCGGTGAGAAAAAAAGTAGATTTTTTTCTGGTTGTGTTGCAGGCATATGATCAGCATCTGAATATGATCCTCGGTGATGTGGAGGAGACGGTCACGACGGTGGAGATAGACGAGGAGACGTACGAGGAAGTCTACAAGGTAACACCCCTCCTCAAATTACCTCGCCCTCCCTCCCCCTCCTAGTCTCACATTACCTTCTCAGGGGTAGAAATTAACTTTTGAACAAGGGAGTCCAACGGCGTTGCCTGCCCTCAAAAAGAGGGAGTCCTAGGCAAAATAAGGGAGTCCGCAGTCTGATGTTCAAAATTAAAGATATTTAATAACGCATTCATGCGGTTGCACGTCTGCCAAATTTTCTTTGGACATTTGCTGAAAAAATACGGTAATTCCGCGAGGCCGTGCTCTGGAATGAACTAGTTAGTATGGCAAAATATTCAGGGAGTCACACGGACTCCTGCATATGTCAAATCAGGGAGTCTGGCAGTAAATCGGGGAGTATATGACTCTGGACTCCCGTTAATTTCGCACCCTGCCTTCTCCCCTATCATATTACCCCATCCTCCCACCTTACCTCCCCCTCCCTTCCCCTCGTCTCATGTTACCCCCTAGTCTCACATTACCTTCTCCTCCCCTATCATATTACCCCATCCTCCCCCTCCCTCCCCCTCCTCTCATGTTACCCCCTAGTCTCACATTACCTTCTTCTCCCCTATCAATTGTTACCCACTACACCCCCCCAGTTACCTCTAAATTACCTTCACCATTCATGTTATTTTCCCCATCCCACTTAACGTCCTTTTCTCCCATTACTTGCCTCTCTCGCATAACCTCCCCTTTCCACATTACTTCCCTCTCCTGCATAACCACCCCTTCCCACCAAAATTGTACTAGATTAAATCCCCCAGTCATAGAAAATGGATCCTTCTGAAATTGTTGGATTCTAAATGGTCTCGGAAACTAAATACCCCGGACAAATGTTCTCCCGACCGTGCGCGAACCATTGTTGTTGCTTTGCAGGCGACGAAGCGAAACATCCCGATGTTGTTTGTGCGCGGCGACGGCGTCATCCTGATCTCACCGCCGATGCGAGCCGGAGTCTGAGGCTACACCGGCAACGCATCAACACGAGTCGTTGCTACGGCGACGCTATCACATACTATCGCTGTAGAGTGCAACGTCGACAACATTCGTCTTCTGCCGTCAGCGATGACGCGGCGACGGATTGTCTACTCTTGGTAACCTGACCGACAGACGTCAACCGAGTTATGTGTTTCAACAGTTTACTGTACTGCTGTACCACTAAACCTGTAAATGTACACGATTTGTGCGTAGGCAAACGCACAATTTTTTACGTACAAATTACCGTACAATTTTTTTACGTAGCCTTTTGTAAATTACTTGGTCGGAGATATGGGAACCAACATGTCTTATAATGCATCAATCCTCCATGGCATATTTGGTAAAGAGAGACGCAGGTTGCGGAGAAAGACGAGAAGTGTTACGTAAATATACAGCGATTCATGTGTGAAGAGAAGCGATTGATTGCGTGAGTGTATCTGCATTTGGAGAATTTCGTGACTCGGTGCATGTACAGACGTAGCTACGAGGAAATATAATTGGCGCAGACAAATTGTAACCAGCGAGTTTTGTAATAAAACAAGTCGTAAATCAACAGCATTCGTTCACGTTGTTCTCTTACGAGTGCAGAGTTGCTCGTAAATCAAGACAGCAAAACGCCTACAGCAATCTTTAATAGAACACTCTTAGAGTGCATCTGTCCATACTTGCACATCGAGTAATGGCTAGTTAGCTGTCACACAGAATGCAAGCATGCATGCAATATCGGCAAACCAGCTATCCATATCGGAAGCAAATATAGCGCTTACTAACATGGTAACTCGTAAATGTAAGAACTAAAATCGATACGCAAATTTATTCACGAAATGAAATCACAAAGCCGACGATTCTCCGCCAAAATCCAGATTTATTGACAACGGTCATCCCACGTCGTTAGGTCGCATTCAGGTTTTAGACAGGTGAGCGAGCAAGATGTCACATGTCAACAACGTGCTGCAATAATAGAGATTCCAACCTACTGTCGCAGGGCTGAGAGAGGGATTCTAGAACTACTACCCCCGGACAACTATCCCCCTAGGACAACCCTAACCCTAACCCTAGGAGGGTAGTTGTCCGGGTGGGAGTTGTCCGGGGTGGTAATTGTCCGGGTGGGAGTTGTCCTAGGGGGGGTAATTGTCCGGATGGGAGTTGTCCAGGGTGGTAGTTGTCCAGGGTGGGAGTTGTCCGGGGGGGAATTGTCCGGATGGGAGTTGTCCAGGGTGGTAGTTGTCCGGGGTGGTAGTTGTCCGGATACGCTGAGAGCACATCTATATGTCTAAGCTAGAAGTACGTTCCTAGCTACACAAGGTAATGGCTGTATAATGTTTAATTACTTGATTAATTACACTATATTATTAATTACTGTAAACTCTCAAATCACGTAACCGCTGCAGTATAATTAATACAATAACGTATTCGAATATTTACATTTCAGACGCGGCAAACTACAATGGCATAATATATTTAAGTTCGTTAACATTAGTAAAACCCTATTACTCTCCCAAAGCAAATATACATAACACTATTTTAGACAGTAATATCTCATAATATCAGCCAATCGTGCCACATTATATCTATCTAACTATCTATCGATATATATATATGGTTCCAAACCGGAAAAAAACATCAGAACACTTCTTCCAGACATTGCACGCTGTTTCTACAACCAGTTCATAATTACTCATTATTACAGTGCGAATGAGTCGATGGCGACCGTGGTACAGATATTTCACCTAGTCGTAATTGTTCTAATCATAAGAGCAGTGGCATTGTAAAGCTAGATGGGGCGTGTAGGAAGCCGGCTACATATCCCGCTATTAAGAACGGTGCTGTAGCGTGTAAACCACATGTAAGCGCCAGTCTACGACCACTACAGAGAATACGCTGCTTAGCAGTCGATCGATGAAATGCTCAAGAAATAAGGAGAGAAGGAAGGAAGAGAGAGGAGAGAAGCTCCTTAAATAATGAATCCCATACTCTATGCTGTGCCTACAACCAAACTCATAGTTATTTACAAAATCAATGCACAACAGAAACTGGTGAACCTCCAGCACGCTAGCGCGACAGCATCAGGCGATCGCAGGCGCATGCGACACCGCACATTCTAAAACTAATAAAAACACAAAAATATCACATGGACTGCATTTCCGCGATGAACATCGACCTTGCCAAAGGTCAAGGCAACTGACAAGTTTCACGGAATTTTGACGTTGACGGTAGTCTATATTACCAGCCTTCTTTCCCCGTGTCACTTTCCTTCCTTCACGCTATGCAGCAATCTGAGTTGACCGCTATGCACCAATCTGAGTTGACCGCTATGCAGCAATCTGAGTTGACCGCTATGCACCAATCTGAGTTGATCTAGCCCTGGTGCAAGGATGACCCTTCCTTCACGCTACCCACCAATCTAAGTTGATCTAGTGCTGATACAAGGGTGACAATTCCTTCACGCTACACACCAATCTGAGTTGACCTAGCCCTGGTGCAAGGGTGACCGCTCTGACGGATTGTCCCTGTGACCATGCGAACAAGCTCCAAACCCCCACCAGGGGGCATTAGTTGCATGACTAGCCACCGTCTCAGC